TTTAGTTCCACTGAGCTAAGCAAACTAGAAAGTAACAGGACCGGTTGTCTGGTTGAAAGCCAAGTGGGATGTAAGAAGGTTAATTCCTACAGAAATCTATACCGCTAGCTAGTCAGGTGAAAGTTTTAGCGGACCGGCAATAAATGATTTATGGCACACAGGGGCACCGCAAAATATTTCACTGGTGCTATGATCATATGAGATCTCCCTCACCAGCCCACTAGCAGTGTAATACACACACACATTTCTCCCTATACACACACACTGCCCCCCATACACACACTGCCCCTATACAGACACACTGCCCCTATACAAACACACTGCCCCATACCCTCACATACACTGCCCCATACACGCACACTGCCCCATACACACAATGCACCCCACACACTCACACTGCACGTCTCACATACACACTGCACCCCTCACACACACACTGCCCCCCATACACACACTGCCCCCTATACACAAACTGCCCCCATACCCTCACATATTCTGCCCACATACACACACACTGCCCCCCATACACACACACTGCACCCCTCACACACACACTGTACCCCTCACACACACACACTGCATCCCTCACACATAGTTTTTATTACTGGCTGACGTCGGCCCGCAAAATATTTCTCCTCTTTTCACCTGGCCCACTGGTGTTAAAAGGTTGCAGGACACTGGTCTAAATTTTAATGTTAGATTTCAGTATGGAAACGGTATCTTCTAAGCCTGAGTATATTCATATTGCGTAATTGCAGGAGTCTCTTATTCAACAGAGCCTAGGCAGTAATGACCCACTTCACAAATAGAAATATTACATAACCTTACTGAACAAGTTAAGCTGTGAATTTTAGACTATTATTTTTCTACTTTACAAATTTCTGCTAAAGATGTTTGTTGAGTAATGAGATATTGATTCACAGCAGGTTTTCAAATGAAAAGATCAGGAACAGGACACTTAGTTGAGCACATCAGTCATTCACATATTCGGATTACATGATACAAGCAGATGTCATCGGTCATTATGCGAACATAGACTTTTACTAGCACAGAGTTCCCTGGTATCAATACAAAAATATTCAAAAACTACAATAAAATATTTAGCTATCCCAGTATGATTCACAAGTATTCCAGGTAAGATAGCTCTATACTCTATATAGTCTTCTTAATGTGTAATGTTCTTATTTTATAGAATCATTAACAGGGTTAAATGCATTATTTTGCATGCACATACGCATTAGCCATCAATTTTGTGAGATGAGCCCAAATCACTGCACTTTAATGTAATAGCTTTGGTGCTAAGATGTTGTCCCTTTATTTAGACAATGACGCAGGCTGCATATGCATGGCACAAGAGTCTGCCAGACCTACATGGCCCAGTTAGATCAGAGGGTCTAACCAGCTGGCCTGGAGTGCCCATTAGGGAATCAAAAATGGAGCCTGTGTTTTCCCCTCATGCTCTGGCATGATTCAGAACTTTGCCATTGGTTTTTCTTTTATGGAAGTTCCTAGGAGGTGGGATGCAACTTTAACTTCCTTAATATTACACAAGCCATGCTCACGTCTCCCAATTCTCCCTGATATAGTGGGACAGTTCTGATTTTGTGACCCCTGTCCTACCTGCAGACAAGCCCCAAAAGTTGAATACCAGAAAAAAATCCCTAAAAGTGCTACATGAGCACATTTTTACGTTTGCTGGATGTTAAGTGGGCTGATACTCCCTATTCCTGGACTCTGTAGATCATAAACAACCCCATGACATAATTTGTGACAGGCACTTCATCATTAGTTTATCCTCCAAGTTTCCTAATCTACCTTCCAAGTTACCTAATCTAAACATTTTAATATCAACATTATTTCACTATTTTAAATTGGTTTGTACGCTGCCTGGCCAAAAAAAAAAGTTGCCACCAAAAAAATAGGTCACACACTCTAATATTTTGTTGGACTGCCTTTAGCTTTGATTACAACACGCATTCACTGTGGCATTGTTTTAATAAGCTTCTGCAATGTCACAAGATTTATTTCCATCCAGTGTTGCACTAATTTTTCACCAAGATCTTGTATTGAGGATGGGAGAGTCGGACCACTGTGCAAAGCCTTCTCCAGTACATCCCAAAGATTCTCAGTTGGGTTAAGGTCTGGACTCTGTGGTGGCCAATCATGTGTGAAAATGGCCTAATGCTCCCTGAACCACTTTTCCACAATTTGAGCATGATCCTTTCCAGTTTCACTATCCTTCCAGTTTTTAATAATGCGTTGGACAGTTAACCAACATTTTAGTAGTTTTTGCAATCTCCTTGGATGTTTTCTCTGCTTGATGCATGCCAGTGATTTGACCTTTCTCAAACAGACTAACACCTCTTCCATGACCACTGGATGTGTCTTTCGACATGGTTGTTTAAGAAATGAGAAGCTACTCATTGCATCAGTTGGGGTTAAATAACTTGTTGTCAGCTGAAAGATAATTGCCCATGCAGTAACTATTCAATAGGAGGGTCTTACCTCGGTGACTTTTCTTTTGGCCAGGCAGTGTATTTCTACAGGACAAAAGTTAAAAAGAGTATATGAAGCCCATTAATTTATGCTATTGATCTAAAAGAAGGCAACAAAACAATAGTGACCTTTTCCAATTATGCCATAAAAAATGAAGAAAATCCTTCTCAGATACATTTGGTGGAATAAAAGCGCCACCGGGGTAAAGTTCTGATAGACCGGCCAGCCACGAGGTTAAAGCCCAAAACAGTTCCATGGAAATTGGTGCTGCGGACGGTCTCCATTCAGGGGTTCCTGTGCAAACACAATTCAAGATTTTCCCTTGTTTTCAGGGAGCGAATGCTCCCCCCAGTCTGTAGTTCCTATTTCCCGAACCTCATTCGTCTAGCTCGTCGGGAAGTGGGATGGGCAGCGGTACAATTTTTGTCGAGGTTCGGGTGAGTGCATAGCCGAAAAGAGTTCCAGTCACTCGACGACCAAGTACCGTTGCCTGCGTTCAGTTACACAAAATGGCGGTCACCCAGGGGAAGCACTCATTAATTGTATCCTTTGCGGTTTCGCATGTATGTTAATCGGTGTTCCAGGGTTCTAATGAAGTACAGGGGTGATCTCTGTTCGGGAGTCGAACTAAGTGGGTTTGGGTACCATAACTCCTGAAGGAATGAAAAGTTAAATCAGTACAAATGAATGGTACGTTTTGCCACACATAAAAATTAGTTTTTTTAGTTAATCTTTAATGATACCATATTACGGTCACTACTTCCCAAGTGCTCCCTAACTTGAAAAAAGTAAACATTATTACTCGTGACAAAATTCAAACAAGCATCTCTTCTAGTTAGTGCTTCTACTGACTGAAACATAACATTATCGTATATTGGGTTTAAGAACTTTTCCCTTAACTGTACTAACTTAGTCCCTCTAGCCCAATCAATGTCTGGATAATTAAAACCTCCCATGATTAACAAATTACCCAGTTGTGCAGCCTTATTCATTTTAGATAACAGTTGATCACCCCATCAGTATTAATGTTTTGGGGTTTGTAACATATTCCTACTAGTGATGTCCCGAACTGTTCGCCGAACGGTTCGCGAACGGTTCGCCATGGTTCGCCACGAACGGTTCGCCGCGGACTACAGTCAGCAAACACATTCCAGCCAATCAGCAGCAGATCCTCCCTCCCAGAACCTCCCACCTCCTGGACAGCATCCATTTTGAAGCTGCATTCTTAGTGAGCTGTCCAGGAGGTAGAAGGGTCTGGGAGGGAGGGTCTGCTGCTGATTGGCTGGAATGCCCAATAAAGTGATACCTGATCAGGCAATGTCCGAGTCCGGCGAACATTTAGTGTAGAGTGTTTCAGAGTATTTGCCAGTCAGGTGCTCGATGTGCAGGAAGGGTTCAAGCAATTCCCAGAGGTCCCCAATAGCTGGGAGGCAGAATCCAAGGGGTCTCCACACCTCTGTCCCATAGTGACAATAGCTCTTTTTTATCCATGTTGGAATGGGGTCCTGTGACAATATTGTTTTGATATTCTTTAACCCCTTAAGGACACATGACATGTGTGACATGTCATGATTCCCTTTTATTCCAGATGTTTGGTCCTTAAGGGGTTAATATATATATATATATATATATATATGATATATTTTTGATAGTAACATATTTTTTAAAATAATTTTAAATTTAAAAAAAACGAAATCATTTGAAGAGTTTATACCAAAATATTAAGTCAGTGCCTATATCAGGGAATACAGACTTTGAATATTTCTTAATAAAAAAAGAAAAAGAGGACAAAGAGGTAGGATTTAATTAAATGTGTTTTCTACTGAAGTAGCTGTTACCTTTAATATTTATTTTTTTAATTTACAATGTATAATTCACTACACTTGCTGTTCAGTGCAGAACCAGTGAACAGGACATGAATCTCTAATGATGCTAAATGTATCTCATACAATTAAGTCCAGCTGCACAAATGGCGTGAAGCTCTGATCACACCCGTATTACTAGCTAGACATTACACTCAAGAGATGTCCTTCCGGGAAACACTTTCAATTTATTTATCTTCCCTACGTATTTCAGGGTAGAACTGCACTTAGATTTGGTTATAATTGCGTCTTTACGGTAAATGCTCAAAAAACAAGAGAATTCTATTAGGTACAGGATGGCTTCACTTCAACGCAGATGGCAGACACACAGCAAATGCTTATTTGTAAGCTTTCACCATTTATTAAACAAGCCAAACATTATTTTTTTTTCCTAACTACCCACACTTAATATAGTTAAAATATAGTTAAAATAAGTCAAATAAATAATCACAGTATTTCAAACTATGCTTGTTAGGTACAAATAAACTTAGCTAAACATTTTGTGTGCCTAGACTTTCTTTTTTCTATAATTTCATTTTTTTTTTCTGTTTTGGGCTTGTATAATTTCAAGAAATGTAATATTTTAGCTAGCAGATATCACAGGAACATTCAATGTGTCAGATATCAGATATCTATGAATTGTCAATGTTCTGGTGTGCAGATATCAATGAATATTCTATGTTGTGGAGGGCAGATATCAATTAATATCCCATGTTCTGGTGGGTGGATATTAATGAATATTCCATGTTCTGGTGGGCGGATATCAATGAATATTCCATGTTCTGGTGGGTGGACATCAATGAATATCCCATGTTCTGATGGGTGGATATCAATGAATATCCTGTGTTCTGGTGGGTGGATATCAATGAATATCCCATGTTCTGGTGGGTGGATATCAATGAATATCCCATGTTCTGGTGTGTAGATATCAATAAATATCCCTTTTTCTGGTGTGCAGATATCAATGAATATCCCATGTTCTGGTGGGTGGATATCAATGAATAGCCCATGTTCTAATGGGTGAATATCAGTGAATATCCCATGTTCTGGTGGGTGGATATCAATGAATATCCCATGTTCTGGTGGGTGGATACCAATGAATATCCCATGTTCTGGTGTGCAGATATCAATGAATATCCCATGTTCTGGTGGGTGGATATCAATGAATATCCCATGTTCTGGTGTGCAGATATCAATGAATATCCCATATTCTGGTGGGTGGATATCAATGAATATCCCAGGTTCTGGTGGGTGGATATCCAATGAGTATTCCATGTTCTTGTGTGCAGATATTCAATGAATATTCCAGGTTCTGGTGTGCAGATATCAATTAATATTTCATATTCTGGGGTGCAGATATCAATGAATATTCCGTGTTCTGGTGAGTGTGCAGATATACAATGAATATTCCATATTCTGGTGTGTAGATATCCAATGGATAGTCCATGTTCTGGTGAGTGTGCAGATATACAATGAATATTCCATGATCTGGTGAGTGTGCAGCTATTTAATGAATATTCCATGTTCTGGTGTGCAGATGCCCAATGAATATTCCAGGTTCTGGTGTGCCGATATTTTAAATTCTGGTGCTTGCTTACAAGTCCCTACATAATGCTGCTCCAACCTACCTATCATCCCTAATACACAAGTATGTCCCATCGAGGCCCCTACACTCTGCCAAAGACCTACGTATATCCTCTGTCCATACTCCCACCTCTAACGCTCGCCTCCAAGACTTTTCCAGCGCTGCACCTCTTCTGTGGAACTCCATTCCCTCCTCCATAAGAATTTCACCCAGTCTCCACTCATTCAAAAAATCTTTGAAAACTCACTTCTTCAAGAAAGCATATCAATTAAACTGTTAGCAGGTTTTTATTCTCCACCCTCCATGACTACTCTCCTGCAACTGTCAAATATTACCTACTAAGCCCTCAGCGTATATTTTTCTAACAACTTACTTCATACCCCTACTTTTACCCTTTGTGTCACTATACCCCACTCCCTCTAGCATGTAAGCTCATAGAGCAGGGCCCTCAATCCCTCTGTTACTGTGTCACTATACCCCACTCCCTCTGGCATGTAAGCTCATAGAGCAGGGCCCTCCACCTCTCTGTTCCTGTGCGTCGAGTTGTTTGTTTACAATTAAATGTCTGTTAGTGCACCCTTTGTACAGCACTACAGAATCTGATGGCGCTATATAAATAATAAAATAATAATAATTAATATTCCATATTATGGGGTGCAGATATCCAATCAATATTCCATGTTCTGGTGTTCAGATATCTATCAATCTTAAATGTTCTGGTTTGCAGTAATCAATGAATTTTCTAAATTCTGGTGTGGAGATATGAATAAATATTCAATGTTCTGGGGTGCAGATATCCAATGAATAATTTCATGTTTTGGTGTGCAGATATCAATGAATATTCCATGTTCTCGTGTGCAGATATCAATGAATATCCCATGTTCTGGTGTGCAGATATCAATGAATATTCCATGTTCTCATGTGCAGATATCAATGAATATTCCATGTTCTCGTGTGCAGATATCAATGAATATCCCATGTTCTGGTGTGCAGATATCCCAGGTATATGACTGAAACCAAAGGAATTTTGGTGGGTACAACACAGTGTGTCACCTTAAGAATACTCTCCTACATGTGTAAAAACATATTTATTTAAGCGCTCAAATTGTGTGCTTGAAGCTAAATAATACATATATGGATTAAATGTTTTTATGTCTTTTTGTTTATTGTATTAAAACAAAAATCAATCAAATATATAAGTGAAAAATACCCTTGTGTAAACCTAATACTGTTTTTATTTCTTCTGGTAGATATGCATGGTAATAAGTGTGGTAGAAATCGGTTTGAAGATCTTCATGGACGTTTTGTTACCACTACAGCTGTCAAACTGGGGAAAAGTTTATTTAAACGTTTTGATCTTCTCTTGTGGGTGAATGATTGGATACCTGTTGCAGGTAATAAATATTGAATGTTCTGGTTTTTTTGGGAAAGTCTGCTCAGCAATTACCAAATAGTCACATAATACATTTAATCAGAGAATAGATGATCACAAATTAATACAATATTCAAAAAGAAAAACTGATAATGGATTGGTCAGATATCGAGATATGTTTACATTTGGCATCTTTGGTAATACGTGTGATTCAGTTTGTATCTTAAATGAGTAGTTTTTAAAATTGATTGTAGCAACATGTAAAGATTTTATACAAAGGAATGCAGAAATTACTGTAATCATCATGTTTTATACAAACGACGGCACACTTAGATCACTTGTTTTTTAGATTTATCTTTTATACTGTGTGTTTACATATATATAACTAGTGGACACTGTAACAATTTTGAGCAATATTATAAAGTGGAATTCCAGAAATATAGCCAACGTTGTTTTCTTGATCACCTTATCTTTTAGAAGTTCCACATGAGGTCTTGTTTAGGTTTGAACTAGAAATTATTAGACCTGGAGATTTGTTTTGTTATGTATTTGCATATTTTTTTCAGAAAATGTTAACACTAAATTATAGGTTATGTTACAGACATTGGGATAGACACACTGGCAAAAAAAGGAGTAGAGACTCCTCCCCGTTGACTTTACTCTAGCATCTATCACTTTTACGCAAAGTGTTATACAAAACTTGCTCATGAGCTTCCAGTCTAAAGGGAAAATATGCAGAAAGGCAAATGGTAAAATTGAGAAAAACAGAAGTATGAAGAAGAGTTGAAGAGGAGATTTCATACAGATTAAGTATGATCTATCAATTAAAGATTTAAAAAGTTGGAAGGGAACTCTAAAAAAGGTTTGGAGTTTGCCCTATGTTCCTGCCAAGAAAGAGTATTGGACATTTAGGTCCATTGTTTTGACTTGGTTGGAAAATAAATTGTTAATTTCCTGATACTGCAGGGATGGATTCAAAACGCTATTTGTATGCTAGAAAATGCAAATACTTCACAGGGTATTGAAAGGTGTAAAGTAATTTTATTCAGAATAGAACAAAAATTAAATAATATGGCCATAAATGAACAGAGGAAAGATGCCATGGGTCTCCTATTTGCTGATAATTTTAAAAAAGTGTTGAGCACATTTGTAAGTGAGTTCCTGTCCTTAGATAAGGCACAGTCTTCAATAAGGTTTTTTTGACGGCTGGCAGAATCATGGTCCTTCTGCCCAACTGTTCATTACAAGGTTCTTTTCGCTTGAACTGACACTCCTTCCAACATAGGAGATCTAATAGAGAATCCCAAATTTTCTACATCCATGGCAAGTAAAAGGTTCAAGAGAAACTTCATCATTTGTAAGCATAAAAATAGAAATGTGATAAAAGATTCACCTCTAGTTGCAAACGTGGAGCGTTAGTAAAATATATACTTACCTGTAAGGGTTAAGACAGCAGTAAAAGACTATAAAAAATAAAACAGTTGCAAGAAAAAGTATGTGAACCCTTTGGAATGACATGGATTTCTGCACAAATTGGTCATAAAATGTGATCTGATCATCATCTAAGTCACAACAATAGACAATCACAGTCTGCATAAACTAATAACATACAAATAATTAAATGTTGCCATGTTTTTATTGAACACACCATGTAAACATTCACAGTGCAGGTGGAAAAAGTACGTGAACCCCTAGACTAATGACATCTCCAAGAACTAATTGGAGTGAGATGTCAGCCAACTGGAGTCCAATCAATGAGATGAGATTGGAGGTGTTGGTTACAGCTGCCATGCCCTATAAAAAAACACACGCCAGTTCTGGGTTTGCTTTTCACAAGAAGCATTGCCTGATGATGCCTCGCACAAAAGAGCTCTCAGAAGACCAACGATTAAGAATTGTTGACTTGCATAAAGCTGGAAAGGGTTATAAAAGTATCTCCAAAAGCCTTGCAGTTCATCAGTCCACAGTAAGACAAATTGTCTATAAACTGAGAAAGTTCAGCACTGCTGCTACCCTCCCTAGGAGTGGCCGTCCTGTAAAGATGACTGCAAGAGCACAGTGCAGACTGCTCAATGAGGTGAAGAAGAATCCTAGAGTGTCATCTATAGACTTACAAAAGTCACTGGCAAATGCTAACATCCCTGTTAGCGAATCTAAATACGTAAAACACTAAACAAGAATGGATTTCATGGGAGGATACCACAGAGGAAGCCACTGCTGTCCAAACAAAACATTGCTGCACGTTTACAGTTTGCACAAGAGCACCTGGATGTTCCACAGCAGTACTGGCAAAATACTCTGTGGACAGATGAAACCAAAGTTGAGTTGTTTGGAAGAAACACACAACACTATGTGTGGCGAAAAAAAGACACAGCACACCAACATCAGAACCTCATCCCAACTGTGAAGTATGGTGGTGGGGGCATCATGGTTTGGGGCTGCTTTGCTGCGTCAGTGACTGGACGGATTGCTATCATCCAAGGAAAAATGGATTCCCAAGTTTATCAAGACATTTTGCAGGAGAACTTAAGGCCATCTGTCTACCAGCTGAAGCTCAACAGAAGATGGGTGTTGCAACAGGACAATGACCCAAAGCATAGAAGTAAATCAACAACAGAATGGCTTAAACAGAAGAAAATACGCCTTCTGAAGTGGCCCAGTCAGAGTCCTGACCTCAACCCAATTGAGATGCTGTGGCATGACCTCAAGAAAGCGATTCACACCAGACATCCCAAGAATATTGCTGAACTGAAACAGTTCTGTAAAGAGGAATGGTCAAGAATTACTCCTGACCGTTGTGCACGTCTGATCTGCAACTACAGGAAACGTTTGGTTGAACTTATTGCTGCCAAATGAGGTTCAACCAGTTATTAAATCCAAGGGCTCACATACTTTTTCCACCTGCACTGTGAATGTTTACATGGCGTGTTCAATAAAAACATGGCAACATTTCATTCTTTGTGTGTTATTAGTTTAAGCAGACTGTGATTGTCTATTGTTGTGACTTAGATGATGATCAGATAACATTTTATGACCAATTTGTGCAGAAATCCCTATCATTCCAAAGGGTTCATACTTTTTCTTGCAAATGTATATAGTTTAATACAAATAAATGCAATGAGAGGTATGTGATCTCATTGGGCACACTCACATGGGAAAGAGCCAGTTGGGCTAGGCTCAAATCACATCCACTTGTGTGTATGAAGGTGACACAGAACCACCTATTTCTTTTAATGAATATATCCTCCAAAAAAAAAATTAAGGGAAGGAAATAGAAGCAGGAGAGCTCATAGCACAATAAATCCAGGGTACAAATTA